GAGAGAGAGAGAGAGAGAGAGAGAGAGAGAGAGAGAAATATGGAGGCAGATAGACAGGAGGCTTACCTGGAGCAGAAGCAGGAAGTAAAGAGCAGACGAGAGACACTTCTGAGTTCCCCTCTAGTGTGTTCTCACACATCTGTGGATTTTATTTTCCAGGACTCCATATCCTTTCAGGATGAAGACCAAAAAAAGAAAAAAAGTTTCTAATATTCTGGTATCAAGAATGAGAAAGTAATTTACATGGTTTTAAAATTATCCAAAAAGTTACAAGAAATGTTTTAAAGGTACAATCTAAAAAAAAAAAAGAAACCTCAGATATGACATAGATTGTGGAACTATAAGATAAGACATGTAAAATTATTATGCGATGGAGAATAAGTTGAAAAACAGGAAATCTAATAAAAATCCAAAGGAAATGATAGCAATCAAACCCACTAGCAGATGCAAAGAAAGCATTTGCGGGGCTTATCTATAGACTAAACAAGGCCAGAGGAAGAATCAGTGAGCTGGAAGATACATCAGCGAAAATTTCTCCAGCTGAAGTGTAAAGAGTAAAGAAATGAGAACAAACCAACCAACAGGACAAGGTATGTAGTAACTGTGGAGAAGTTGCAGACAATGTAACATTATGTATCCGGACTTGCAGATAGGGAATTTTAAAAGGGCAAAGAAACAATTGAAGTAATGATGGCTGAAGTGTTTCCAAAATTAATGACAGACAACAGACACCAAACCACAGATCCAAAAGGCTTAGAGAAACACACACACACACACACACACACACACACACACACACACTATTCAAAGTGCAGAAAATAAAAAAAAAAATCTTGACTGATGCAGAGGAGAAACAGTTGGCATATAAAAGGACTCAGAATAAGAAGTATAGGGGCTGGAGAGATGACTCAGCAGTTAAGATAACCAGCTGCTCTTCCAGAAGACCAGGGTTCAATTCCCACCATTCACATAGTACCTCAAAAATGGGATCTGACACCCTCACTCAGACATACATGCAGCCAAAACACCAATATACATTAAAATAAAAATAAATAAATCATTTTTTAAAAGAATAAGAATTGCGTGAGACTTCCCATAGAAAGCCCGCCCAAGCCACGTGCTTGGTTCACAGACGTAAAGAAATCAGTCTGGAACTGGGTTGTTAATGTCCTCCCTTCTGGAGCCCTCGTAGTGTCAGCAGATACTATACTCAGGCTTCTGGGGGGTGGGGGGATAACTGGTGGGACATGTTTTGTGCACTGTGTATTCAGATACTGATTACTGTGACCAGAGATCTGATTGTAGTCTGGATGTTGGCACTGTTGTTATTACTGAAGCATCTCAATGTTGTGTAAATTGTTCTCCATCACTTCTGATTGGTTATTAAGGAGCTGATCAGCCTATAGCGGGAAGGAGGGGTGGCGGGAACGGATAGAGCAGGAGCAGCCAGGACAAGACTAAGATAATAATAATGGGACCTGTGGCTAGGCAGTGATTAGCATGGTTGGGCTAGGATGGATTAATATCTGACCAGCTATAGTGCTTGAAGCTTACTAATAAATATAATAGGTTTCCATGTCATTATTCGGGCACAAAAGGGGGCATAGAAAAGTCAGGAATTACTACAGATAATTGCCATCAGCAGTCTTGCCCAGCTGCGGACACCGTGTGCAACAATAATGACCAGCCAGGCAGCATGAGGCCACCAAGTGGCAGTAATGGTAAGTGTGGTATGGAGTAACCAACTGCCCACCTTCTGATTGACACTGATGCCCACTCTGCAGGAAGGCATTCACATCTGGAGCTGTAAACCAGGTAGAGCCTGTGGCTGGGGACCTGACAGGTCTTAGTGCAGAAAAAACTGCTGTTGCTTTGCTAAATGAACATGACGTATCCATAAAATGGCCTTCTAAATAAGTATGTTTATGCCCATAGCTCAGAGCTACTGTCATCTTTGACCAGAGAAACGTCTTTTTGCAATGGCCACTGCAAAGACTCGTAACTGGTCAAAGTACTGAGAATAAATAAATGCTCAACCAAAAGTAGGACAGCTGCATCACCCCCTCTAAGGCCCAGGAAACATCCCAGAAGAAGGGTGGTTAACAAACAATGAGTAGGGGAAGCTGGGGAGGCCTATGGAATGCTGACTTGCAGGCATGGTGTGGGTGCGACACTCTTGAACTCACAGTAGCTGTGATTACCTGACCAAGATCTATACAAGACTGAGCCCATCAATACCAGGTCACAGAAGAGGGAGGGATCATGGGACCCATCTCTCCCTAAGGAATTATACAAAGTTAAGAGATAACGGAGAGGTGGTTTCTAACTGGTGTAGCCACTTACTAATGGCAAAGTGCCCATGGTCCTTCAAACAACCTGCTTATTCGTGTTTGGTATCCTGACACTACTGAACTGGACTGCTGGTATCCTGACAAACGGGGTTTGGAATTTCCCCCAAAGAACTTCTTCTAAACAGGTCTACATCCCCTTGTCCTATTTACCGTCTTTTCTCCCCTACCTTTGGACAGTGAGCTAGAAGGGGGCAGGGCGACACATTTGAGAATCCTTATTAAAGTGGGTTTTGAAAACTCTAAGCCTACAGTCACTTATTTAAGACATAACATTCATTGCCGTGCATGTGTCTCGCCACAGAGCGTAATCAAGTGTGAAGCCAAAAACTCACAGAACTTCTTGGAGAATCATGAATTCTGTTCAGCACCCCTCAGCAGTAATTAACACTGAGACCCCGGAGAAATCAAGTCAAGGCCATGGAGCAGAGCACCACCATTGATCTACCAGACCACATTAGCACTCACAAAACGCTGTCCGCCTTACTTTGGACAAAATTGGAAATGTGAAAATGCACACTCCAGATGCCAGCTACCGGGTGGGATTGATTATTCCTTGTACAGAAGAACTGTCTGAAATACCAAATCATATTTATTCCTTATTTTGTGTGAGATTCTCTGCAGATATCCTTTGAACATTTAAACTGTGAGTCCATTGAGAGTTTTATAGTTTCCCTTACCAAAGACTGAGTTAGGACCTGGATCGTCGTAACTCCCCCTACTTACATGGACATACAAATGCCATTTTGCTAACAAAAGCCACCTTGGTGAGATCAGCAAATGTTCCCCTACAAGCTTCTCCTCAGTGCCTCTGTCTTGCTGTTTGTACTCCCCTCTGGTCTGAAGGCTAGATCACTGAGGGCTGCTCTTCCAAACCTGAAGTCAGACTTTCAGCTAGCTGGGGAAGGGACAGTACAGCTCGGCTCCTTCTCCTCCATAAACTTCTGCTTAGCCAGGAGGCCCCCGTGTGTTCATTCGGTTATAAAACCTAAGGATGTTTCCAGAGTCTCTGGGGTGACCCAGTGAGCCCCTAGAGCACCTTGAGAGTCTCACATCAATTGATGAAGGTGATTAATATCAACAGATACATCAAAATACAGATGAGTGATGGTAATCTCCAGGCTGAGGTTGCTTGGACAATGTTGGCTCTGTTACTAAACACGTGATTCTGAGGCAGGGACCCAGGGAGGGGCTGCAAACCCAGACTTTCTCCCCATACACATATGTGTCTCCCCTCCCTTAATTTGTGAGGTTTTAAATAAAATAACCAATAATTCTTTAAAAAAAATTGTGTAGTTTTTTGGGGAGTGGGTTTTTTTTTCTTTTTTTGGCCACAGGGTCTTATTTTGTACCCCAGGCTAGCTCTGAACTTGTGATTCTCCTCCCTCAGCCTCCAGCATGCTGGGATTAGAGGCCTGAGCTCTCCTCCTTACAGGAGCCAATCTTTTATTACCTCCATCCTCTCTCCCTGTAGACCAGTGGTTCTCACCCTTCCTAACACCGTGACCCTTTAATACAGTTCCACATGCTGTGGTGACTCCTCCAACCATAAAATCACATTTTCTTTGCTACTTCCTAACTGTAACTTTGCTACCATCATGACTCATGATGTAAATATCTGTGTTTTCTGATGGTCTCAGGTGACCCCTGTGACCTCCAAAGGGGTCATAAGCCCCCAGGTTGGGAACCACTGCTGTAGGGACTCCAGTTAAATATCTGAGCTCTCATTCTTAGGAGAACTTATGTAGAATTCTAGGTAACTCCATCCAATTATTCATTCATTTCTTGTTTAACTCTTCCTGGAGATTACTGTCAAAGACTAGATAAACGAATTTCAGCAATCTATCATATTCTTTCCCCACAGTTTCTGTAAGATTATTTCCTGAGCCTTGGATGTCACAAGTTTAGTGACTTTCATTTGATTGATTGTATTTTCTTCCACACTTTTCGAATCTTTTGCAAACATTATACACAGGAATACCTTACTAACCTTCTTTTCCATGTGTTTTTATAATTCCACAATCATCAATACAAAACAGGATCCTCCTTGGTACAGATTAAGAATCAAAGGTCTAGGCTTGAGTCCTGTGTGTTCCTGTGTGGCCGAGGGCCAGCCTTTGATCTCTCTAAAGCTCGACTCCTCTGTAAAACAGGACTAACTTCTGCTTTATTGATCACAGTGTTGTATATATGTGGGCCCCATGAACAGTTATGTGTGCAAACATCTTCTACACTCTAAAGAGAAATGCAGATGGAAGTTGTTATTAAAAGGTTATGATGAACTCAACTCAACTGTTTGCTTGTGTGTGTAATCCAAATGCCATAGAAATAGTAACCAGGGGCCCCGGGGCTCTTAGCTACAGCAAGTTAAAAAAGGAAAAACCAAAAAAATCAAAGGCCTCTTATTCAACACAGAAAGCTTTCAAAGAAGAATGAGTGCTTGCCAAGGGCATGCTTGGTGAAGGGAAGTCTGTAAAGGCAAGTTCAGAGGGCGGAGGGACTTCACCAAACAGGAACGGGACGGGCTGTAATGTATCAACTTCCTCCTCCGCCCTGAACCGCCTTGCTTGGAATTCCTTATCTTATCAACTAGAGACTTGGATCTTAACGGCCAAACTATAAAAATGGGGTGCTCGGTAAGTATGAATCCTTACAGATGCCAAAACCAATATTCCGACCAGGCCAGCTGTCACTCCTGTGAGGACCTGGATGTCACTTTCGATTTCAAGGGGACAAGGGAAAAGGCCTTCTCCTGAGGTCTTGTCTTATGGTTACAGCTGGTCACAGAGATTAGTAAAGACACCAAATTCGAGTTCAACCTCCCTGACACAAATGGGAAGGGAGTCGGGGTAGGAGTGGGCTGGGGAGGGGTGCTTAGCAGGTGAAGGTGTTGCAGCCAAGCCTGAATGAGGACCTATGTTGATCACCCAGAGCCACACAGTAGAAGAAGAAAACCAACTGCTTCCAGTTGCACACACACACACACACACACACACACACACACACAAATGAGTAAGTCAATAAAAAATGTAAAAATCACTGTTTAAAAGGAATGCATTAGGGGAGGAAGGGTTTTAGTCATTCCTTACTTTTACCAGCTTGGACTCCCACGTGTCCCGACTTGTAGAAAGGCCGTGTTGGAGAATTCAGTGGAAGTGGGGTGGGCAAGCCGACTGACAGGGAAGGGAATTGGCGGGGACTAACTGCTTAACTCAAAAACAACAAAGATTGAGGTCTGTCTTGATAGGATTTCTCCAGCAGCTGCATAGAAATGCCTCATACAGTGATTTGTGGTTTTGCTTGCTCATGGGACTGTTTCTTGCGCCTGTGGGAAACTATGTGACAGTCAACTGTGAAAGACTAATTTTTCTCCTCTTCCTCCTCCTCCTCCTCCTCCTCCTCCTCCTCTTCTTTCTCCTCCTTCCCGCCCCCACGGATGCCTCTTTCTCTTCCTTCTTCTGACATTGGCGCATCCTACACACAAATCCACAGCGTTCCTGAGTGAAAAGCGGATGTGTATGATTTGAACTCATGTGGGGCATCGGCATGTGAGAGGTAGAGAGATCCTAAGACAGTTCTGAAAGTAAATTGTTAAAGAAATTGACACCAAAGATCTCTGTGCAGTTAGCACAGCTAGGTTAGGCATCATGGTTTCTTTGAGAAAAGGTTACTTTGAGAAAACTTGACCTTCAGTGACCTTGATGGACAGGGCAGGCATCTCATGTGAAATCCCTTCAATAACCGTTTACTAACTCAAAAGCAAATAAGAAATGCAACAAAGAGCTTCTCACACAACTTAACATTGCTACTATAAAAATCAAAACAAACAGCGCTCCCCTCCCCGAGAATAACAAGTCCCGGGAAGAGGTGGAGAAACTGAAACACTACACTGTTGGCAGACAGGAGAGATGGTACAGCCACTATGGAAACAGCACTCTGTCTCAAATACTGAATTCTAGAAAACTAAAAATGTACCTATCATTTGATCCAGAAAGTCCATAGATTCTTCCCTTCTTATGATAAGGTAAAATTCTAACTACTGTTGGGTTTGTTTGTTCTGAGATAGGATCTCCTATAGCCCAGGCAGGCTTCCAATTCACTGAGTATCAGGGGATAACCTTGAACTCCAGATCTTCCTGCCTCTACCTCCAAAGTGCTGGGATTACAGGCATGCACCATCATGCCCAGCTAAACCCACAGTAAGTCAAAACTACATTCAATTTAATGCACTTAACCTACCCAGGATCCAGGCTTAGTTACACAGTACACGCTAGAGTATTGGTTGTCCCTCTTGATCACAGAGCTCTCTGACAGTTGCTAATTCCTGTTGCTGCCCAGTGTTGCAAAACAGTGTTGTATTTTATACATCAATAGCTTGGTAAAAGGTCAAAATTCAAAGTACACTTTCTACTGAATGTATTCCATTCACACCACTGCCAAGTCTAGAAGCCGTAAGACAAGCCATCACAGGCTGAAGGACTTCATGTTGATAAAAGTATGGGGGCTGAGTGTGCCTTAGGAACAGGGTGCAAAAGCATGTGTAAGTCCTTGGGTTAATATCAGGGATCCAGAACCAACTAGACAGGCAAAAGAGGCAAAGCACGAAAGCAGAGTAGCAAGGAAAGAGAAAGAAAGGAAGGAAGGAAGGAAGGAAGGAAGGAAGGAAGGAAGGAAGGAGGGAGGGAGGGAGGGAGGGAGGGAGGGAAGGAGGGAAGGAAGGAGGAAGGGAGAAAAAAGGAAGAAAAGAGAGAAGAGGAAGAAGGAAAGAAAGAAAGAAGGGAGGCAGGCAAGCAGGGAAGGAGGGAGGGAGAGAGGGGATAAGCATTACAGGGACTAAGTCAGGCTCTCAGAGATATTTGAATATTCAAGCTTCTTATTACAACATTACAGCAGCTCAGGTGTCTATGAACAAATGAATAAGCAAAGGGCAGAGTCAATTGCCATATTGATCAGCGTTAACTGGGAAACCTGTCATGGGCTATACAGAGAATGGCTAAATTCTGAGCTCAAAGAGCCTGAGGGCTTTCATGCTTCCGGTAGATTCAAACGCCCTAGAAGAGCATTGTGCAGCTTCCTGGGGGAACACAGACACAGCAACTCAGACTCCCCTCTGCCACCCATCTCCAGCTCTGGGTTGATTCTGGTTCTTACTGTGGGCTCATCTTATAGGACTTCTCACACAAGGCTCTCTGAATAAAGGCTCCTTTTGTCACACCCCAGTGTCCCAGGAAGCCTTGTCCAGCCACCTCAGAGGTGCTGCCCTTCCCAGTGCTGGGTTGCAGGTTAGAAATTCATCACGGCTGTCCCTGTGTTCTAAGTGTTTGTGGACACATGGTCTCATAGAAAGTTGCTCCCTCGGGTACAGGAGTGGGTGGTCCCGCTGACATCTTAAGGGCATCAACAGTCAGTAAGTTCCACACAAGGCACAGGGTTGAGGATCTGGCAGCACTTCCGGGATGAAACAAGGGTTATAGGACTTCCTTCTTCTCATTCTCATGTCCATCCCAACAGCCCTCCTCCTTGTTTCCTGCTTGGATTCTCCTGGTGGAGCCTTCAAGTCTCATTTCTCTCCCAGAATGCCTCTCTTCTGGATTCCTACTCATCTTCCCCACTTACCTTTTCCAGTCCTTGTGAAAAACTTGGTCATTCTAGTTATTGCAGGCCAGTTCCATCAACTCCATTCCCCTGCTTCTCTCCTCTCTCTTTCTCCCTTCTTTCTTCTTCTTCCTCCCCCTCCTCCTGTTTCTCCTCCTCCTGTTCCTCCCCTTTTTTCTACTTTATCATCATGATTATGCCAAGGATTGAAACCATGACCTTGTACACGCTAGGCAAACACTGTACTATTGAGCTATACCCCTGGTCCTAGTTTATTTAGCATCGTCTTTGCCAGCGTTCTACGGCTGTGAGGAGACACCATGACCATGACAACTCACATAAAAGAAATCATTTCATAGGGGCTTGCTTACAGTCTCAGAGGTTTGGTCTGGTAACCTTATGGTGGCACTCAACAGATGTGGAGCTGGAGCAGTAGCTAAGAATTCTACATCCGGATCCACGGGCAACAGGAAGAGAGAGACACTGAGACTGGCTTGGGATTTTGAAATCCTAAAGCCAACCCCAGTGACACACTTCCCCCAACAAGGCCACCCCTCCTAATCACTGTCAAGTAACGTCATATACCTTGATGACCAAGCATGCAAATGAGCCTATGAGGGACATTCTTATTCAAACTGCCACAAATATTATATGTGTATGGGATGTGTACATGCTTGGGGGAGGGGCTGCAGAAGATGGCAACAGCTGGCTTCCTCAATCCCCCTCTACCCTATTTTTTAAGACAGGGTCCATCACTGAACCTGGAGCTCACCAAATCACCGAGGCTGGGTGGCTGTCAAGCCCAGTGATCCTTCGACTTCCACCTCCCCTAGGCCGGGATTACAGGCATGTGTCACCTCACCTTCTTTCATAGGTGTTAAGGAGCAAACTTAGGCCCCCATGTACATGGGGTTTACTCCCTGAGCCATGTTCTCAGCCCTCTAATTTCAAACATGCTTTACATGTTAACACTCTTATTAACTAGTTGCTCAATTAATTAAAAAAAAAAAGAAGGCTTGCTGAACTCTCTTGCAGATAACCGAGCAGTTGCCATTTGTTCATAATCTGAGTATTATTTATGTGAATCTTATTTTTGTCTTGGAGAAACAAAAACCTTTGTCATGCAAAGGAACGTGTCCATCTTAAATCTTCACTCCACAGAATTAACCAGTCGATATTCTTCTGTTGGTGCACTCTGGATTAATTTCCTCCAACAAGCTAAAGCAAAGGTTGCGCGAGACAAGCACCCCACTGGGTCTCTAATGAGGATGCTGTGTAGACAGATGAACCTGTACTGGTCTGTGCTTGCCCACAGCTCCCACAAGGCCCTGCGGCTTGCTGCAGTTCCTGCTGTCCACCAGTGTCCCAGCTCAGCTCCAGATACCCCACCAAATTAGTACCACAAAAAGCACAGTGTGTGAGCAAAAGGAATGCCCGAATGTCTGTTCTCTAGATGCCCCTGCAGGAATCCGGGGCACTTGTCTCAACCCTCAGCCATCTACCCACGGAGATGGAATACATCTTGTAAACATTCCTTTAGCTATTTTTAGTTAAGTCTTTTTTTTTTCTCCTTCAAATTGTGATTATGAGTGAGGGCAATGACCAAAAAGAAATACTTACCACAAAAAAAAAAAAAATCTAAAGTGCGTGCGTGTGTGTGCGCGCGCGCATGTGTGTGTGTGTGTGTGTGTGTGTGTGTACACACGTGTCTAAGAGAGATTGTATCCTTCTATCCTGTGGGCTCCAAGGACCAAACCCTGGTCATGAGGCTTGTGGTCAAGCTCCTTTCCCTGCTGGGCCATGTCCTTGGTCTCTCTCTCTCTCTCTCTCTCTCCCTCCCTCCCTCCCTCCCTCCCTCCCTCCCTCTCCTCATTCCTGCATCCCTTTTACCCCTTCTCTTGTATCATCTCTTCTCTCTTTCCCTCTTCTTCTTTCTCACACTTTGCCTCCTCCTCTTCTTCTCCTTACCTCCAGGTCTCTTCCCATAGAATGATATGCAAGTAAGACTCAACAACCGTGGGACCCACACAACCCTCAACTTCCCAGCCGCCATGACCGTGAGGAAGAAATCCCTAACTTTTATTAATTGTTCAGCCTGGGCTAGTTTGTTACAGTAACTCGAAGTACAGACGTAAATGCTAATCTCAGCTTCTGATGTTACTAAAATGGGTCATGGCAAGAAACTCTAGGTGACGATGCACAGGTACCATTTTTTCAGCTCTGCCTCCTAATTGGTTGTGTTGTGGTCCATCAGGAGAGGGAATAGATGGTCATGAGCCACCATGCGGTTGCTGGGATTGAACTCAGGACCTCTGGAAGAACAGCCAGTGCTCTTAACCACTGAGCCATCTCACCAGCCCCCATTGTAACTCTTTAGTACATTCTTAACTGCATGTTGAAAATGTTTAGAGCCCTTTTACACACAGAGTCCGTGAAGCATCCCCACGCATCCATCAGACTCAGCTGAATGTGTCGTGAGTGCTAAAGACCCAATTCCTATGATGGCTACTAGGGTGACAATCATAAGCAAAACAAAAATTCTTGCCTGGGAGTAGGAATGTAGCTATGCAAACAGAAAGTACAGCCGTGGAAGATGGCCCTAAAGGCAGCCGCCCCAGGGAGATGAGACCACAGGAGCTGGTAAGACTTTCAACCAGAACCCAACCTCCATCCCTCCAAGAAAGCTGAGCTAGGTCACCACTGACCTGGCATGAATAGGAGCCATTCAGCAAGATGGGGACCCGGAAGACATTGTAGAAGGGCATGGTTGTGCATAAAGACGAGAGAGATCATGATGTGGAAGAAAAGGCGGGCAGGAGCAGAAGGGTGAGACGGAGTCAACGACAGTGCTAGAACCCGGATGCTGGGCTAGGTTTTCCAGCCTTTCTTCAAGAGGCTGGTGATCCTCAAAATGGAGCAGAGATTAAGAATTTATATTTATTTATGTTGTGGTTTTGGAGGCTTCTAACTTAATGCCTGTTTGTTTTTTAACTTTATGCTGTTTGTAGTTTGTTGGGGTTTGGGGGCTTGGGTTTTGGTTTTGGTTTTGACAATGTCTCATTACGGAATCATAGCCAGCCTGGAACTTGCTGTGTAGACCAGATTGGCTTTGAACTCAGAGAGTTCCACCTGCCGCTCTCTATTGAGTGCTAAGATTAAAGATGTGCATCACCCTGCCTCGTTTTGTTGTTATTTTTGAGATGCTCACTCAGAATGTAGTTCAGGCTGGACGCAAACCTTATAATTCTCCGGCCTCAGCTTCCTGAATGTTAGAATTGCAGGTGTATACCACCACACCCGAGTCAAATGTACATATGCGATATTTGTACAATGACTCTGTGTGTGTGTGTATGTGTGTGTGTGTGTGTGTGTGTGTGTGAGATGTAGTATGTTTGTACAATTTTCTAGAAGAAATCCACAGCAGCAGGCACCAAGAATCAAGACAAGGATGCAAAGCGAAAGGTTGATACTCTCACAAAGCTGGTTTTCAAGTCTTTCTTGGTATGGGCTTTCTGGGGCTCTATTTTATTTATTGCCTTGCATTGTTGGTATTTGAGACAGGGTTTGCTGTGTATCCCAGACTGACCTTTAGCTACGCATCCCATGTCAGTCTTCTGCCTTGATTCCGCAGATGCTAGATTTCAGGCACATTTCATCAAGCCCAAACAGGTAAGGTTTCCTGGCCTCATTTTCTAATGGCCGATGACCCTCCGGCCCATGCTAGGTTCCTGCAGATTCTCAATAAGCAGAAGTTCTGTGGAAGTCAGGGAAGAGAAGGGTCCCTGGGGAGGGAAAAGCCTGAGGTAGGTTTTCTGACTCTCACCCCACACGACCACAGAGGTGAGCTGCCTAGGTCCTTGTCAGCAGAACACGCTTCGGGAGAGTAAGTGGCTGTCATCTCCACCTGTAGGGAAGTCTGTTGCTGTGTCCATGCTCAGCCAGGTGCCCTGGATCCTTTTCTGAGTGTGACAGGATTTTGGAGCCAGGAGGGGGCTCTTCTCTAACAAGCACTGTTCTTCTCAGTGGCTGCCAGGCACATGTCTGAAGTCTCCTTGTCCTATCCTGTGTGTCTCTCGCTCCCCAGAAGTCCTGCCTGCACTGTGGCTGGATTACCTTCCCACCGCTGCTTCCTCTATCCCTCTGCTCAGTGCATTTGCCCATTGTCCTGCCAAGTCCAAGTGCCACAAGCTTTGTAGCTTCAGCAGAGAGCCAGTGTCTCGTGGTTCTGGAAGCTGGAAATTTCAGGTCAAGGTTTCCAAAGTGCCGGTTTCTTATGAAGCCTCTTTCCTGGACTGCAGATGGCTGACCTCTCCCTATGCGGTCTTTTGGTCTCTTCTCTGTGTGTATTTTGCACTCGGTATAAGGACTTCATGTTATTGAATGAGGGCCCGCCCTAATGACCTCGTTTTAAGTCAATTTCAACGTCAAAGACTATTTCCAAAGAGAACAGGTTTCTGAGGTGTTAGGAATTAGGACTTCAACATACTAACTTAGGACATACACAGCTCAGTACCAAACACTCAGCTAATTCCAGGGTGACTTTACATTTCAGAGGGTCAGTGTAACCCAGTAAGTACAATTAATTAATAAGGAGCTCAGTGGGCCCAGAAGCTCATTTGTCCCAATTCCAACTCAATAACCTCTATTGTGAAAGCAAAAATAAATATACATAAACATAAGCTCTATGGTATTAGAAATTGAACCCAGTGCTTTGCATATATGCTAGGGTAGTGCCCAACTCCTAAGCCATATATCCAGTGTGAAGATTATGTTTTAAGTATGAAACAAATCTCTAGTTTCTCGGACAACCACTGATTCCCCTGAAATCTACTAAAAGGATACTGAAGTATAGACGCCATAAGCAAAGCTGGACATAGTGGTATACACTTATCATTCCAGTACTTGGGAGGTGAAGGCAGGAAGAGAGGGAGTTCAAAACCAGCCTCAGCTATAGAGTGAGCGTGAAGTCAGCCTGGGCTACCTGAGGCCTACCTGCCTCAGGATTGTAACAGTGAAAATCAGTGTGTGTCAAGAAAAAATAAGAGTGTCACAGTGACCCCTCCATGTGGAACAGATGACCCTCAGTCCATCAAGGGTGACTGGCATGAGGAAGTCTCAGAAGGTCGTGAGGCAAACACTGGATCCACAGACAATGTGAGAACTGCCTTCCGCAGACAAGATGGCAGATGAGACACTCAGAGTGCCGTGACAAACAGACACTAGTGGCTTTGCTGGTTTGGTTATTTGTTGGCTGGCATCTGAGTAACATCAGCCATGTCTTGGACAGAGTTTGTTGAATGACTAAGGACAATGCTTCAATTTGTGTCTTCTCTTTTTAATTTTCATCATTCACATCCATGGAAAATTCGAATAACTTCCATCCTCATAGTTTCTCTGGGCGTTGGCAGTACACCAGGCGAGTGGGTGTTGTTTCCATGGAGAAAAAAATATCTTCTCTCTTTCTTAGCAGACACATTTTGTAATTTGGAAGAATGCACCTAGGAGCGCTCTGTGGTGAGTGTGAATAGGATTCTTACAGTTGAAGATCAACTCCCTTTGTGAGTATTTTTACCAGGCCAGCCAGTGTCTAGTAAAGACACTTGTGCTGCACCCATGATGACCTGAGTTCTCCAGAACCCACAGGAAAGGAGAACTGATTACCAGAAGTCATTGGTACCCTGGGGAAACTTTGGTGGCATCTGTGCTGCCTAGTCTATGTCAACCTGACACACAAACTAGAGTTTCCTGAAAGGAGAGAACCTCAATTGCTCTATAAGATCCAGCTTTAAGGTATTTTATTAACCCGTGATTGATAGAGGATGGCCCAGCCCATTGTGGATGGGGCCATCCCTGAGATAATGGTCCTGAGTTCTATAAGGAAGCAGGCTGAGCAAGCTACGGAGAGCAAGCTAGTAAGCAGCACCCCTCCATGGCCCCTGCATCAGCTCCTGCCTCCAGGTTCCTGCCCTGTGTGAGTTCCTGTCTGACTTCCTTCAATAATGAACAGCAATGTGGAAGTGCAAGCAAAATAAACCCTTTTCTCCCCAATTCTTTTCTCTTGCTTTTGGGTCATGGTGTTTTATCACAGCAATAGTAACCCTAACTGAGACAGCATTGTGCCTTCATTTGTCGTTGAGAGCAGGGAAGGGATTTGAGCAATAGGGTGGAGCTCGAGGCCTCATGCATTCTGGGTAGAACACTCCCTGCTGATTTTCTTTCTTTTCATGGCTGAATAATATTCCTTTACATGCATATACCACGTTTTATATATCCAGTCATCTACAGATTAATGTCAGTATATTTTACAGTATTGGGGCTGGTGGGAACAAGAATCTATCTGAGACCCTGATTTCACTTCTGAGCGTGTGCCTGGAAGGGTAATTGTTAATCCTTACAGAAACTCACCAACTGTTTTCTACAATGGAATAGCATTTTAAATTCTTTTAAGTGATGTTTGAGGGTCTCCTGAATTCTGAATTCTCCAGAATTCTGAATTCTACCATCAATTTTCCGTTTTCTTTAATTGTATACCCATCATTGTGTGTGTGATGTGATATCTCATCATTTTGACTTCTAGTTTTTCCTTTCCTAAAAATATCATTCATTCATTCTTTCTTTTGAGACAAAATCCAGTATATCCCAAGCTGGCTCCAAACTCCCACTGTAAGTGATTTTTGTTTTGTTCCTTCTGCCTTGTGTTTAGGGTGCTAGGATTAGAAGTATATACCACCTCGTCCAGTTCTACCCAATGCAGGGAGCAGAACTCAGGGCTCTGTGCCTGCTGGGCAAGCCCTCTATCAACTCAGCTATGTCCAGTCCCTTGATTTACATTTTCCTAATGGCAGTGTCATCAGGTGTTTTTTTAGCATATGCGTGTGTGTATGTTTGGATACAGCTACATACATAGATGTGTATGCATATGTGTGTACATGTGTATGTGTGTGCATGTGTGGATATAGATATATATGCTGCGGGAGATATTTAAAACTGCAGCACCTGATCTCGCTTGTTTATGGAGCCACCATGTTCCCGACTAGCCTAGGCCTGAGGCCGTGAGCTGCTGCAGCATGTTCTCAGCCCTGGCACCCATAAGACACCAGCATGGGAGATGGCTCTGCCAATCTTCCACAAGGCTGGGCTGAGCCCAGACCATCCCGCCATCCATGTGGGCTCGGCAGAAATGAGACTCTAATGCTTAAAGATTGATCAAAGGCTTTATATGACTAATAATGCTCAATAACAAGATGCCCACACAATTAGAGTTGTTTCCCAATTAACCAACCTAAGTTGTTACCCAGGACTGCTTTCAATCCAAGCGTGGTTCTCCATCCCCCTACCTCTCTGCTCTCCCTCCTCCTCCTTCTCCTCTTCCTCTCCTTTCTCCTCCTCTTCCTCTCCTTACTCCTCCCGGTTTAGCTCCTCTCAACTTGTGGGAAAAATATCCCACTACATATATAGATGTGTATCCATGCATATATACATGTTTGTGTGTGTGCATGTGTGAGTGTGGGTGAATATATAAATGTGTATGCATACATGTGTACATGTTTGTATGTATGCATGTGTGGGCGCATATATAAATGTTTATGTATGCATGTATGTGTACATGTTTGTGTG